CTGATGAAAAACTGCTGTAAACTGATGAAAAACTGATGTGAACTGATCTGTTTTTTTCTTGGAAAAAAACATGACCGAACTGATGAAAAAACAGAACGCCCGTGTGAAAGGACCCTTAGAAAAATGTTGGGTGGTTTTTGGTGAATTTTAAGGGTTCAATCATCTTAAAATTGAGAGGTATGGAAACTCCTTTCAACTATTTTGTACCTGCTCTAGTACCAGAAAACTGCCTCTCATTAACCTCACTATTGTATGTTTTTTTTTTCCACAGAAAGAAAAAAAAGAACATGAAAAATATACCAACAAAAAACGTTCAAAGTGACAGTTCAAGATAGTCTAATACACCTAAAACCCCCCCGCCCCCCACAAATTGAAAGAACTCCGGGGGCAAATGATCAAGCCTTAACAGATGAAATATATCAGATTGGGTGGTCTTGACATGGGTACTTGTCAAAGCAGATTTGTACAATAAAGTTATCCAGGACGTGATGTCAGCAAGCCCTTGAGTCATAAGGATGAAACGTGTTAGATTTGAACCGCACGGTAACCAGAGGTGACATCAGAACCCAGCCCGGAAATGATGTACCGTTACTCACGGAGATGAGGATCAGATAAGACGCCAAGTGTTAAGGCGCCAAGGTTATTGATGAGGATTATTGATGGGCAATAGTTTTTCAATGTTTCTGAATAGATTTTTAACTGGACTAAAAAAAAAATAGGCTGGAAAAAAAAAATATATATATATATATATATAATATTATTGGACAGTTTTACATCCGAATCTTCTGTCTTTTTAATGTTGGTGGGCCCCATAATGGAAGCGGAGGCTGGAACTTTGACACCACACAGTAATTAGAAGGGACATCTTGGAAATCTGTATTTGCTGACCAGTCTGTGACCAGCCGAGCACATGTCACACGTGGACTGAAGGAGTTTCTTCACAGAACTGTTTTATAAACATTATGTAGCTTTGGTGTGGAGCATTGCCTATACTTTGCACTGTGGTTTTAGATTTTCAGGTTTATATGGACACTTTATTTAACCGCTTCCTGACCACCCTATAGCAGATATATACTGCTACAGGGTGACACGGGTGCGCAAAATCACATATATATATACGTACCGCCATTCGTGGTTGCGGCCATCAATCATCGGGTCCCGGCAGGTGATTACTTACTGGTGCCCCGTGATTGCCGAGCATCTCCCACGGGGGTGGAGAACTGTATGTAAACAATACAGTTCTCCTCTCTGTCAGCTTGTGCATACTGCTTTACATGGCTGTGCACAGCACAACCTTGCAAAGCAGTGTGATTACAGGGAAGCACACAGACACAGACAGAAGTAAAAACAGCACACAACAAACAGTTAACCCTTTGATCGCCCCTCATGTTAACCCTTTCCTGCCCATTGCCCTTAAATACAAAGTCAGTGCTTTTTTTTTAGCACTTATCGCTGTATTGGTGTCACTGGGGATGTCAGTGACACCAATTCAGTTCCTCCCAGTGTCAGAATGCCCGCCGCGCAGTCCCACTATAAGTCACTGATTGCCGCCATTACTAGTGAAAAATTAAAAAAGAAATTCCAGTATCTATACCGCCATTTGTAAACACTTTCACGTAAGCCAATTAATTTACACGTATTGGGATTTTTCTAGCAAAGACATATAACAGAATACATTTTGGCCTAAGTTTATGATGAGATTAGATTTTTTTTTTAAATTTTACTCGGCATGTTTAATATCAAAAAGTCAAAAATATTGTTTTTTTCTAAAAATTGTTGTTTTCTTTTTTAATAGCGCAAAAAAATAAAAAAACACACAGCAATCAAATACCACTGAAAGAAAGCAATTCGTGGGAAAAAAAAAAAAAAAAAAGGTTGTAAATTTAATTTGGGTGCAGTGTTGCATGACAGCGCAATTGTCAGTTAAAGTAACGCAGTACAGTATCGCAAAAAATGGCCTGGTCAGGAAGGGGGGTAAATTCTCTGGAGGGCAAGTGGCTTTAATGTGATGTATTGTTATTTTTTTCCTTTTTATATATGCAAAGAATTAATATTGGAAAGGAGAAAGGATTCACATCGCTAACTCATGTTTGTTTTAAGAATTCTTGTGCACATTGTTTTACAACATTAAGATCTGGATTAAGGTAGCAGCAGTGAATACTGCTTTATCACCCTTTGGAGGTGCAAACAGTAAATTTTTGCATATATTTTTGCATTGGTAGTGGATGTAAAAAACTGATGAAAAACTGATATAAACCTGATGTAAACTGCATGCATTTTTTCTTTGAAAAAAACATGGCTGAACTGATGAAATGAATGGTCCACGTGTGTGAAAGGGGCCTGGTTCACACTGGATCCAACTTTGAAATGTCACGACTTTGAAAATTTGGACGGCAGTGCAGGGGCGGACTGACAACTCATGGGGCCCCCGGGCAATAAGGGATCATGGGTCCCCTGTGTCCTTGCCCAAACTCAAAAAAGCCTACAAAAAAAGGTACCAGGGGCATCTCATGGGGCCCCCTACTGACCCCGGGCCCTCAGGCAGTGCCCCGAATTTCCAAATGGTCAGTCCGCCCCTGCGGCAGTGTGACTTCAGCAGAGTCTTCATAGACATCTGTGTGATTTCATGCACAGATATCTAGGCAAGACGCACCACAAATCAACAAAAGTAGTGCAGGAACTACATTTCTAATCAGTGTGACTCCGACTTAGAATGGTTCCATTGCTGATCATTGGAAGCGATTTGTCATGTGATTTGAATGGTCAAATCGCACTACAATCCGCATCAACGTGAACCAGGGCTCGGGGTTCTTTTACATGGGAGTTCCTTTTTTTTCATCAGTTCAGTTATGTTTTTTCAAAGAAAAAATTGATCAGTTTTTGATCAGTCTTGACATCAGTTGTTTTATATCCACTACAAATGCAAAAATGAACCGTTTGTTCTTTTACATCTGTTTTTCGGCCATTCTGGGGTTTTTTATTGGAACAAAAAAATGCAGACTTGTTCTGTTTGAAAAACAGACCTTAACAGAAGTGGACAAAAAACTGTAAATTGGCAATGTCCATTGTTCATCCATATTTCCACAGAGATGCATTGAAGTCCATTTTTCATCCATCAATGGATGGATGAAAAAAGGGACAAATGGAACACCCATGTGAAAGGGGCCTAATGGTATTTTTGCTTTTGCCATCCTGGTACGTGTTTTGGGTAAATTTATTGTTGTGCAGCTGTCTGCTTTTCTTATAGCCCTAGGGGCATATTTATAAAGCAGTGAATGTAACACTCACCAAACATTCACTGCAGGTGAATTAAATACTGTAATTTAAAACACTTATAGCAGGATGATTTGCTAAATGGCTGGTGAATTCTGCATTCACTGTTTTATAATTATGCCCTAATGTTCTTTGGATGTACAGTATATGGGTGTTTTTTTTGTGTATTTGTTTTATTACTTGGGCACTGTCAGTTTATTTTTTTTGGTAGACTAGCACTAAAAAAGATCCAGAATGATTTCATATGAACCAGCCTTACCAGAACATAAATTAGAGCTAAACTTACCTCTGCTCCAGAGCTACAAAATCCACAAGCTCCTTCTCCTCCTGTTGTGCAGCTGTCTGCTTTTCTTGTAGCCCTAGGGACATATTTATAAAGCAGTGAATTTAAAATTGTAACTGCAGGTGAATTAACCACTTCCCGTCTGGCCCATGTATATAAACAGCCGGAAAGGAGCAGTGCAGGAGCGGGTTGCTGTTCATAAACGGTGCCCGCAGTTTCAGCTTGTGAACGTTCCCTGGGAGCGCGCGGGCCCCACGATCTGGTGTCCGCTGTGTCCAGAGGACACAGCAGAACACCGATCACTGTAGGCACCTCTGTGTGAGGTCCCGATCATGTGATCACTGATTGACCAATCAATGATCACATGAATAGTAGTAAGCAAGATGTCACTTCCTAACATCATTGTTAACTACCTGTGCAATCTGTGAATGATCACAGAGGTCACATGGTACAAGGCTATTCACAATAGTCTTGTACCATGTGACAAGCTGTGCCCAATCACAGCTCTCACATTATTTCTCAATGGCTGCAACAATGCAGCCAGAGAGAAGGAGACATGATTGCTTGTACATCCTTTATGGGTATAAAAGCAATCACTGTAAATAAAAAAAAAAAATCTTCATCACACCCCACAAGTAGTACAGTGTCACTATGGTGACACTGTACTGCTAGGGTGACAGTATGTTAAAAAAAAAACATTAATAATAATATAAAAAAAAATAAAAAATTATAATTTTTGGTTATAAACTAATTTGGGTTATTGTTGTTACTAAAAAGATAGCTGAATACATTTTGGCCAAGATTTATGAAGAAATATTATTTATTTGCAAAAGTTTTGGACTTTTTTATTTCTATAGCAAAACAAAAAAAAATCCCAGCGGTGAATAAATACCACCAAAATAAAGTTTTTTCTGTCTAAAAAAAATGCTCAAAAAATTCATATGGGTACAGTGTTGCATGACCGCGCAATTGTCATTCAAAGTGTGTCAGTGCTGAAAATTGGCCTGGACTTGAAGTGGTTAATTACTTTAATTTAAAACACTTACAGCAGGATGGTTTGCTAAATGGTTGGTGAATTGTGCATTCACTGTTTTATAATTATGCCCTAATGTTCTTTGGATGTACAGTATGTGGGTTTTTTTTGTGTATTTGTTTGATTACTTGGGCACTGTCAGTCTATTTTTTTTTTGGTAGACTAGCACTAAAACAGATCCAGAGTGATTTCATATGAACCAGCCTTACCAGAACATAAATTAGAACTAAACTTACCTCTGCTCAGGGGCAGACTGACCGTTTAGAAACTTGGGCACTGCCCGAGGGCCCCGGGTCAGTAGGGGGTCCCATGAGATGCCCCTGGTACCTTTTTCATAGGCTTTATTGAGTTTGGGCAGAGACACAGGGGCCCCATGATCCCCTATTGCCCGGGGGCCCCATGAGTTGTCACTCCGCCCCTGCCTCTGCTCCAGAGTTACAAAATCCACAAGCTCCTTCTCCGAGCTGACATAATTTTTCAGTCTTTTTCTGGATTTGGTATGAACAGATCAGTGTGTATTCTACAGAAACCTGCAATCAGAAAGGCATGACGGTTTAGTTGCAGAAGAAGCATTTATTGTCTCTTCTGCAGGAAAAGGAAATTCTGTTCACAAGATGGTTCTACTTTTAAAGAGCTGTTCTATTATTTTTCTTTTTACCAGTAGTAATAGTAGTATAGTGTTAGTAATTGTAGTATTAATTTTCAAAATAATAGTAAAAATACTCAGTGTCTATATTACTGTAAGCATTTCAATAACTGGTTTAATTAATTATTGCTTTTAAGTAGTTTGGAGAAAGACTAGATCCTCTATTAGGTATTTACACATGGGGGCTTAACACCAACTAAAACTTATCTTAACTTTACACCTTAACCTAATGCTTACAGTTTACTGTTAACACAAATGTATCCCTATAGGTAAACCTAATACTTAAAGTATATGTAAACCTGCACATTGTAAAACAATCCCTGCATTTTAAAATAGAAAAGGAAAGGAAAAAAACATTTGTGTTTTATACATTAAAAAAAATCATTATGGATGCCTGTTTTTCTCTTTTTAATAAGTGATCACATACCCTCTGTGCTCAGCTGCATAAAGAGGGGAGGAGAAACAGCGGCACACTGATCCTCCCAGTGAATGGCTGTATGGGGGTATGGTGGGGGCGCATCAGTCTGATTATTGGAGGAGAGCAGGTACAGTTCCCAGCACAGCTAGAAAACTGACCACACTGTTATCTAATGCCTAATAAGAAACAATTGGAACAGGATACCTTTTCATACAAGTAAATGGTACAGCAAGTACATATCAGGAATTATAAAATGTGGGGTTAACATATTCTTTAAAGGTCAGCTGTACTTTTATTTTAAATATGAGGACAGCTAGCCTTCTAGGTCTCAACATAAAAAAAATAAAAAAATACTAGCATAGGGTAACTTAATCAGTTCCCAGCTGGCTTAGTAAAATCCTCAGCTGTCATCTTACTATAGGCCGGGCGGGACTTTCATAGATCAGATCACGTCCTTCCGGATCAGGGCCTCACACAAGCCCATGGTGCTGCGCTGCACTGAGGTCTGTCACATCAATCACAGCAGGTCCCATGATAATTGTAAACAATGGATGACTTTCTTTCAAGCCGTCCATTGTATACAATTGTGTTGCTAGTTTTTACTGGTCACAGTGATCACATGATACAGATTGGGACAATCACATCCCATCTGTGCTATGCAATTAGCTGTGGCCAATCACAGCTAATCACAATAAAACAAACTGAATTAATCAATTTCATTCAGTAAAATGCTTGCTTATAGCAATGAAATTCATTGCTACAAGCAATCATAATGTGTTAAAAAAATACTGATCACTTCCCCAGAGTGGTACAATGTTACTGTGGTAATATTATATTACTCTGCTCACAGTGTGTTAAATTAATAATAATAATTATATATATATATATATATATATATATATATATATATATATAATATATATATATATATATATATATATATATAAATAAAATTTATATTTTTATATTTTTTTTTTTTCATACTGCCACCAGCCAGTGTCCCTGAGCACCACTACACTAGGTACATGATGACTCTGTACTGTACTGCTCTGTTGATAAGTATGTAATAAAAAAATTTTGATTTTTTTTTTTTAATTTCTTCATTTTCCCAAAAATTATACCAAAAAAATGACAACTTCAAAAAACTCACCACGCCTCTTGCTAAATACCTCTGTCTACTTTCCAAAAAGGAGTAATTTGGGAGATATCCATACTATCCTAACATTTTTGTGTCTCAAGAAGTGAGATAGTCCATTAGCATATCAGGATTGATCGATTTTCAGATACGGTATATACCATAGTTTTTGAACTCCATAACTTTCCTACAGATTAAATAATATACACTGATTTGGATTATTCTCACCACAGAAATGTAGCAGTATAAATTTTTGGACTAAATTTATGAAAAATAATAATTTCTTTGCAAAATTTTAATAACAGAAACAGGGAAAAAACTTTTTTTTTTCAAAATTTTGGGTTGTTTTTTGTTTATTTGTCAAAAAAATAAAAAAACCCAATGATGATTAAATACCATAAAAAAGCTCTAGTTGTGTGAACAAAATAAAAATTTAGTTTGGGTACAGTGTTGCATGAAGGTGCAATTCTCATTCAAAATGTGAGAGCGCTGAAAACTGAAAATTTTCCTGGGTAGGAAGGGGGTAAAAGTGCCCGGTATGGAAGTGGTTAAATATTGCTACCTCATTTCTTCCTCTATTTAGCATACTCCATTCATTGCTGTAGATCTTGTTATAAACACAGGTTTCCAGTGAAACAGAACAGCAGCACATGCCCTGGGGAGAACAGTATAGAAGACACAGGGGTTCATTTTCTAAGGCAAATAGGTTGTTCACTTTGCAAGTGCAGTTGCTTCATTGCTTAGTAAATGGGAGGAAGCTCTGCTTACTTCCATCATCCAATCATGTGCAAGCAAAGGATTTTTTTTTTTTGTTTACCTAGCATGTGATTGGGTATTCTTTGCAAAGCTAAATTTTATCACATTCACTAAGTTAAAGGGTGAATACCCTTGCAAAGTATAAGTTCACTTATAAAAGGAAGAGCCGGTTTGGGTTTAGCAAATCAACCTCATAGGCTTCATCCACTGCATATCCCGGAGTAATGATAATATTATCTTATACAGCAATTCCCTGTCTATAGACAAGGCACCCCTAACACTAAAATCCCAGAATTACTTTACCAAGTGACAAAACTCTCAGCTCTGAACTGTGCCTGTCCTAAGCCGGGCTCTACCTCCACCCAGACCATCATATGGAAAAATAATCTGGAAACTGGGTGGTAAAAACTCTGGTTTAAGGCATACATAATAAAACTTTAAAGTGGTTATAAATCCTAATTAATTTTACCTTAATGCATTCCTTGGATTAAGGTAAAAAATGTTAATGCATTGGTATCACCCCCTCACCCTTCCTTATACCTACCTGAGCCATCATTCGATCCAGCATTGGGCCTGTCTGCAGCTTTTTCCTCCCATCACTTGCTGGTTTCACAGGAGCCGTTGGCTCTCGCTCCCGTCAATCAAAGCCAGTGACGAGGGAGCAGGGGGCAGGGCAGAGTCCTGGTGTCTCTGTCTATGGATGCAGGCAGCAGGCTTCAGGAGTGACCCCATAGGAAGCTGCTAGAGAAGAGGAGCCAGGAGCTCCAGCAGGGATCCCACAAGAGGAACAGGTAACTATAAAGCTGTTTGTTATTTTAAAAAAAAAAATTGCCTTTACAATGTATACCTAAAGACAACCACTTTTTTTGTTATTGAAATGTTGGGACCTTTGTCTGGGTTTTATTGCTGTCCTTGTTCCTGCAGTGGAAGCTGGTTTTACCCCCCCCCCCCACCTTCACCCAGCCATCAGTGTGAAAAAGCCCTAATTGTCCTAGTGACTATTATTACTGGACAAGTGTGAAATGGAAATCTGAAAATGGAAGTTGAGGGGAATCTTCAGATGGGGTCAATTGTTCCAGTACCAACAAGAGGGCATTTTTCCTTAACCTGTGTCCTGTTATGTCCCTATTGGAAAAAAGACAGAAAAAAATCCATAGCTACAAAAAAGATTTTAACTTTACCTATACTTGAAATAATTCCAAAACAAATCTACTAATCCAACTTTGTTATACACACATTGATAGAACAATAGAAAATAAAAAGTGTATGACAAATAAACTAAAACAAAAGGCTATTAGGCATACATTTGCTATTTTAGTTTTTTTTTCTTTCTTACGTGTTGGAAGTTTTAGTGAAAGAAAGAAAATAACAGAAGACAATAGCAAATTATTATTCACAAACCATCTCTTAGCACACAGACCCCAGTTCCATCATCCATTTACCTTCATATCATGCAGAAAAGCAATCTTTCTGTAAAATGCATTCCAGGAAACATTTTAATTAATTCTGAAGATCCAATTTATCACTACGTTGGTTAAAGGTAATTAAATTACAATGTGAAAGGTATATCATGGGGAAATTTGGAAACTTTCTTGTCTAAGTCAACTTAAAATTAATATGATTAATGAATTTTTCATCAGGCTGTGAGTGGATACGCAACATGTTAATATCAATGTAAAGGGAATTGTATGTGTGTGTAACTAGATAAATCGGAGCAATAGCATGGTTTATCAATAGGAATGTACCCAGAAGAACCCAGTATGAGATAGGACCAGCCAGTAGCAAAAGCAAATCCAAACTATCCATCTGGCCTATATGGCAATTAAAGTCTATCCAAGAACAAAACCTAACTTATTGCAGCTTAACAGTCCTAAGATGTGGTGGCTGCATTCATTTTCACTAAGAATTTTTTCAGAAGTACAGAAAATACTTGATTGATCATACCAAAAATGCATGTCCTTATTTCTTCCTGAAAGCTAAAAAGAAAACACAAACATCCTTATCTTTAGTTTGTAAACTACATGTTCTATTATACCCCAATGTAATGGGAAAAACAAGTCAGAAAAAACAAGGCAGCTTTGTTTGAAATCCAGTCTTTGTGACAGCCATGGCTTCTGCCATAGATACAGTGGAGAAAAAAATGTAGATGTGAATGAACAGATGTGTCATTTTCAGGATTACTCGATGAAAATGTGTTTTAACTTTTGCAGTCACATTTGAGAACCCGACACTATACTGTCTGTTTATTGTGTGTTCCCATTCACACGGCATGCTTAAATATACACTATATTACCAAAAGTATTGGGACACCCCTCCAAATCATTGGATTTAGATGTTCCAATCACCTCCATGGCCGCAGGTGTATAAAATCAATCACCTAGGCATGCAGACTGTTTTAACAAACATTTTTGAAAGAATGGGTCGCTCTTAGGAGCTCAAGGCTTCGGATGCAGCGTGGAACAGTGATAGGTTGAAAAACGTGATAGTCCATCCGTGAAATTTCCTTGCTACTAAATATTCCACGGTCAA